ACATGCTATCTATCGGATCGCCATGCTTCATAGTGCACTTGGACAAGCTGTTGAAAGGATAAATTCGGTGGAAGGGGGAACACGGCTGCATCTCATGGTCTGGCCTCATTTGTGGATGCCATCTGACACGGTACATTGCTATCTTCAGCACAAAGAATATAGGTAGTTGTGATGTTGTAGTAGTACAGCTTAATACACGATCATATAATGGGTAGGAGTGTTTTTTGTTTGCTGTTGCTGCTTTTTTGCTGTTGCGAGGGGGTGGGTGTTTTTTTGTTGTTGCTGCGGGGGTGTGTGCTTGTTGTTTGTTGTTGCTGCGGGTGGTGTTTTTTTGTTGCTGTTGCTGCCGGGGGGGGGGTTGTTTTTGCTGTTGCAGCGGGGGGGTGTTTTTTTTTGCTGCTGCGGGGGGGTGTTTTTTTGCTGTTGCTGCGCGAGGTCTGTGTTTTTTTTTGCTGCTGCTGCTGCTGCTGCTGCTGCTGCCGGGGGGGTGTTTTTTTTGCTGTTGCTGCGGGTAGTGTTTTTTTTTGCTGTTGCTGCCGGGGAACTTTTTTTTTTTTGCTGTTTGGGCCCCCACCGGCAGTTCACTCACTTGCTGGTTCGCCGGGGCTTGCACAACCACAAAAAAGCAGCAACGGCAAAAAAACAAACACCCGTTCCATCATATCATGGCGAAGGACACAGTACAAGATGACTCGGTGACACATAACCAATCATTACGCTACGTTCCTCGCACATGCCTCCTGTATAGCTTGAGGCTCGTTTGCTTTGCCACATACATGATCAAGCATGGGCCTTGGTTTTTGCACAGTAATCTCTGTATTGACGGGGAAGGAGAACTCCTATAGTAACCTTGAAGTACGCCTTATGGCACCCTTTAGAGAACCCGGTATACAGTAAGAATCCTTATAGTAAACCCGGGCAGCAACAAGCCTCCCAGTACTCCTGGCTGCCGTAGTCGGGCGGCTCGCCTTGGAGCTTCGACCCAAACAAGGAAGCGCCAGCGTAGACAGTCTGCGGGCGTGGTCGTTCATACTCATATGGATGTGAGATGATGTGAGTGTGTGTGTGTGTGTACAGACAGAGATATGTATATACGTGCATATATATATATATACAGTCAGAACTATACCTACACACACACCGTGAGAACGAAAGAGAGATGCACATACAGGTGAAAGTACATAGACGGCTGCGCATTTGAAGATATAGCCTTGCGATCTCTTGCATCCGAGCATGTGCGCAAAGGCTTGGGCCTCAGTCAGACCCTGCAGAACAAGCAGTTCACGCAGCATGCCACGAAGCGGCACTGGTAATCGTCCCAGAGATCGTCAGCCATAAGCTGGCCTCGAAAAGCTGTGTGGTAACACCACAAATGGTTTACGTAGACTGCAAGATACTGAGCTATAACAAGTCTTTGGAAGACATGTTCCGGTATTTTGGAGAGTTTGCGCATGCCTCTGTCGCGGTCGCCCCCATTTTCGCAGCCATGAGCTGAAGCGGAGTGCGAGGGCTCAGATCTCACAAGATACTAGAATCTCCTACATCTCCTACTGCAGCTTGTCAACCTCGACATGGTCTCAGCAAGTCCCGCAATACTCTGGAGGGCAGCTAGTGGCTGCAGAGCACCATGCTTTGCAATGCTGCTGCAAATCCTTGGGCCAGACGAAAGGGCCGCCGTGATTTTCCATGTCTGCCGGAAAACCCTGCAAAGTGGGGAGAACCTTCCGTTCCTGCCTCTACCTCCTCGTGGAGCGTTCGCTTCCCACGGCTCTCCATGATGAACTCTTCCACGGCACCACTGTGCACAGCAGGCGGGTTTGAAGGTGTTTACATGTGCACGAGCGTCCAAACAAGCTGCGTTCGCGAGGGAGCAGATATTGGACGAAGTCTTGTTTAGTCTCGTTAAGGCTGTGTGTCTCATGCAAATTGTTAGTTGCAGCCGCAGCTTCGACTACTTCCTGCATCAAAGGCCCTTGCAGCTTCAAGTCACTCGCCGGACTCAACGAGGAAGCTCCGCTACACAGACTACACAGACTACACAGACTACGCGCTTAGCTTCCGCCTGAGCCGTCGGACATGTGCCGCGAGCTCCGATGGCCGGGCTTCGCGCGGCAGGAAGAGCCTGCAAGCAACAGTCCCGAAATGGTATGTAAATAAGAAATTTACCATAATATTACATAATACAATATGATATTGTACTATATAATGTGTATATATATATATATAGAGAGAGAGAGAGAGAGATATATATATATATATAGTATATTAAATGCCATGAGCATCACATGGTCGAGGCTCGGGCAGACGCAGGTCGTATTCGGCAGCATCTACGCCTGAGCAGGGCGCTCACGAAGCTTGCTTGACCCTCTAAGGGGCGGCCCTCCATTCGCCTGGCTTGGCCAGGCAGCAGAGGAAGCGGCGCCTCTCAAAATGGCCTACTGCAAGGCGCTACACTGTACACAAGAACTTCATGTCCGAAGCCCCTCCTGTGGTCTGCATAGTCTACGAGGCTCCTCAGCACGCGTTTCATGGAAGAGCCTCAGGGCTTCCCAGGGCTGCTCTGGGGCATGTCGTTCCATCTGGACACTCGAACTCGGGGAAGCGCCAATCTGCTGGATGAACTTTGAGCGTTTCTGCAGAAAGCCTGAGTCACTACGGGTCGATGAGCGGCGACGACAGCCCGGCAGCACCAGCGGCAAGTGGCAGCAGGAGCGGCATCACGACTTGATGGTAGTGGTGATAGTGATAATGATGGCGTGGCTCGAGCAAGCAATATGGAGCACATCGATGCTTGTGACGATGCTACTCCTGCTTGTGATGCTGGCAGAGGTAGCCAATGTTACTCGCATTTAACTACCTGGCTCAGACACGTCAGGTGCTCTGCGTTTCAAGCACCCTAGACTTTGCCGGTGGCGCCAGCGCAAAGGGTCCAGAAGAAACAGCAGCAAGAATATAAGCAGAAATCGACCATGCTCGGAAGAGTCAAAACAAGAAAGTTTCTCAGGGTAACCACAAGGAGTCATAGCGATGATGCCCATGAGAGTCACATGAGAGTGCCTCCATGATATCATCGGGTTCTCTGCGTTGGGCTGTACATAACATCGTTGTACATTCAGACTCATACAATCTCACACACAATCATGATACATAACCATCATACATAATCATGCATGCGTACATGAATACCTACATGGACTCATGCATGCATGCGCACTTATATACATACACAAATACACACCCACTGGATTGACAACCTCTTGCCAGCATAGAGACCATTCCTACGGCCCTCCGCTACCAATAGGAGGCACCAGCTGAGTCGTCGCATCCATTGCTCTGAACTGGGCGTGGGATGCCAACACTGAATGCTGTGGCTGGGCTTGCTGCCAACATCTGGGTTCTCTTCAGAAAGCTCCTTCTGCACAGCATGGCCCAGCGACGAGGTGATCTCTGGTGAGGCTCTGCGCTTCAAGCGAACGGGCGGCTCCCGGCTTTCCTACAATGAGGGGCTCTTGAACCTCGTCCAACCTCGTGCGAGGGTCCACAATGCGATGGACCAGCATGTAAAAGCCAAAGCATTCGGGTTCAGCTCGATGCGACAGCTCGTAACCCTAAATCTTCAATCCCGTTAGCACGGGCCCATAGCACTAAGATTCATTGAAGCCTCAACTGGAGCAATCCTGGATGACCTCGGGGAGGTTGGCCTTCCGTGGAATCGACAACAAGAGGATATGGGACTGTCGTCGGGCTCAGGGATACGGGCTTACGGGAGTTTACGGTGTGTTACAGGCTGACTGCTGTACAAACTTGCGACCTTTCGGCTCCAGGGCACAGGGCTAGGGCGGACAGCCTTTAGGATTTGGGCATCCTAGCTTTAGCCACATTAGCAAACACGTGACGAAGGCCGAAGGATATCGGCAGGAGCGACACCACACATAGTGAACCGGCAGGATGCGTTGTCTAAACCCTCAACCGAAAAATCAAGGCTTAGGCAGGGCGGCGCCTAAGCCCCTCGACATCGATGGCGCAGAGCGATCCAATACGCCTGCCCACCTCCCCACTGGCACCGAGTCCTGGTCCCTTTAAGGTATCCGGACCTGCTGCCCTGCTGGCCCTGCCCGCGACTGCCCTTGCTTGCCCCTCTGCCGCGCCTGTCTGATGTAAAAAGAAAACCATTGATGAGTTTAGAGCTAAGCCCAGGTTCGGGTGGTTTGGCCGCCTCAGACGTCGTGGGGTTGGAGAGAAGAAAGCAAAAGCCCTCCACATTCGGACTCTAAGCGGCGAATCGTCATGCTACGACGCACGCGAAATTACATTGTCGCAAGACATTCAGCTTATGCGCCACTCTACGGCAAACACTAACCAAACCCTCAACCCTAAACCCTGTTGATGTGAATCTGCATCAGTCATCAGCGGAGCTGCTGTGTACGCAGGCACTTTTTACGGCCTAGAGGTGGAGAAATGCTCAGGCGAGCATAGGGATCTGGCTACCAACATGGGTAGCGGAGCGCAAAGCGCTCCAGGACAGTGCGGACATCCAGGTGGACGTCTGTTGTAGAGACCTCTTTCAGCCATGGCCGAAGGAGGTCACTCGCTTCGCTACTTCAGTGGCGAAGATGCCGACCATCGCGAATACCGGCGATGGAAGATGTGGGTTCAGAACAAGATGCTGACAAATGAAAAGTTGGCAAAAGAGGCCCGCGGGCCCTTCGTGTGGACGTTGCTGCAAGGGCGTGCCCTGGAAGTCGTCGAACACTTGTCTCCCGCGGAGTACTAGAAGGACGGCGGAGATAAGGTCTTGTTTGACCTCCTGGACCAGCGCTGGCCCCAGAAGGATCGCCTGGACGAGATGGGCGAGCATGTGGCCGAGGTCTTCATGCTGAAGTCGAAGGAGGGAGAGAATGTTCGGCAGTGGTGTGCCAGGGCTCGGGAAGTCTTTGACCGATGCCACCGCAAGACGGGCATCCAGTTTCCGGATGAGGCCCGGGGATGGGTGGTGCTGAACTGCAGCGGGATGACGGAGGAACAGAGAGCTGTGGTTCTGGCCCGAGGCAACGGAAGCCTCAAGCTGGACGACATGGCACAGGCTCCTGCTATCCCGAGTTCGTGGTGCCGAGACGGCGCGCCACAGCAGCACATTACGCTGAGCGTGAGGAGGACTGGTGGCATGACCAGCAGCCCTCCCAGGAGGCCGGCGGCTAATACGAGGAGGACCCCGACGAGCCGGACCTTCACGACGTCGAGGCGTTTCTTGCCGAGCACGGGACGGTGACTGACGCCGTCCCGGAGGAGATCTTTCAAGAAGATGAGGTGGCGGAAGTACTTGCCGCCACGTGGAAGGACAAGCGTCAAGAGCTGAACAGGCTTCACCGCTCGCGGCGCTTTGCGCAGGCGCGAGAGGTCAAGAGGAGCTTCAAGGTTGAAGTGGAGGAACTCAAAAAGAGGACCCAATGCCACCGCTGCGGGCGCACGGGCCATTGGGCGAGAGAGTGCAAGCTCCCGCGCAGCATCGGGAGCAAGCATGGTACAAGCCCAGGGCCAGCACTTCGTCTGCTATGTGAGCGCGGTTGTGCCACCGGAGCAGGGAAAGCCAACGATGCTGCAGGTCCTACGAGATTGGCTGAGAAGACCAGAGGAGGCACTGTTGGTGTCGTCGCCGGGCTACGCGGTGCTGGACTCAGGCTGCGGACGGAGCATCGTGGGCGAGGAGACGCTGGCCCAGTTCCGCAGGTTGTGGACCAAGGCCGGGATCGACCAGCCAAGGCCCTCGGCTGAGCGGAACACGTTCCGGTTTGGCAATGGCCATGAGGAAGTGCTTGAAGTGACGAACAAGGTTGTCGAGATGCCGATCATGGTGGCGGGTCGCCGCGGAGCGGTGCGAGCCGCAGTCATCAAGGGACGGGCCCCGCTGCTGTTGTCCAGGGCGGCGCTGAAGCGCCTCAAGGCCCAGATGGACTTTGACGCCGACGAGCTGATGATCTTCGAGTCCAAGACCCCGGTCAGGATGATCGAGGCCGGGCAGTACATGATTCCCGTGGCGAACTTCGAGAATGCCAGCGACCCACAGCCGCGGGAGAGTTGCAGCCATTGCCTCAGTGCCGAAGTTCGCAGCTTCGAGGGTTCAGATGAATGGTCTCTTGAGGGGGATAAGCTGATTCGTTATCACCGCACACGGCGCTCGTGTCCCTTTTTCCCTGATGAGAGTGATTGTCCAGTGCCTTTGAAACAGCTTGCTGATTCCTGCACTGTGGTCAAGGTGAACGAGCATGGGCTAGAATCTAGTTCCCAGGCTGAGTGGAAGGTGCCAAAGGTTCTGG